GTGCTCTTGGCCTCTCTCTCTGCTTTCTGGCTACCATGAGCTGGGCAACTTTTCTCCACTATCCTCTACTACCATGATGGAAACTTCACCTCCAGTCCAGAGTAATGGAGTCAGCTGGCTAGGGACTGATCCTTTAAAACTACAAGCCATAAACTTTTCCTTCTATAAGTTGTTTTTATCAAGTATTTTGGTCACAACGATGAAAGATGACTATACAAAGTTACAACACATAGTACCCCAAACTTATATATACAAAGGAAAAAATGGTAATATCTAGAACAAAAGATATTCTTAACAAATTTAGATATACTAAATTTTAAGATAAAGGTAGTTAACTGCATAAAAGGTAAGTAGTTAATTGTATATAAGTTTTATAATGGAATAAAAAGGTAAATGGGATAAAAATAGATATGACATACAATGAGTTGAGATTTGGAAAATAAGGTTTATATAATTTAGAACTGTCAGGTAATTATAGAGAAAGAAGATAATTTAAGAAAGAAGGTACTGTGTGATATAAAATATTAAAGCAATACCTAAATTGAAATTTTATATAAAATGTGTTTTTTCTTCATTCAAAGTAAACGGAGATATTCCATAATTGGATAATGTTAAGCAGGATGAGTGTCTGTTTGTTCTTAGAAATATTAGGACCAAGTATTATTATTAATATCAAAGAGTGGCCAATATCTTTGAAATTGCCACCTCATACAAATTAGACAAAATATTTATTTGTATATTTCCATGCTGCTTCTAAAATATAAGTAAAAACATGAGCAGGAGGAAATGCTAGCAAGGCTGAGGCCTTACAACAAGAATGGTCTTTTTACATACAATCTTGATAAACAATATGTAAAATAGCAAAGAATATTAAATCTGCATTTTATATGCCATTATTAGCTCCATTTTAGAGATGGAAACAGATGTAATGAAAATGAAATAAACTAAGAGAGATAGGAAAGGGAAAAACTAATTAAAATCTTGGAATTCTGGCTTCAGAGCATATACTAAGATCATGATTTCATTTATATAAAATTTTTGAAAAATGCAAATTAATTGATAAGAACAAAAAAATAGATTGGTGATTGCCTGGGGATAGAAGTGAGATTCAGAGGGGCATGATAAAATTTTGGGATGATAAAAGTTTTCATTATCTTAATGTAAATAATACTTTTTTAGGCATAAACATTTATAAAATTATATAATTTATGTACAATTATTATATATATTATATTCAATAAAACATTTAAAATGGATTGACTTGTGTATTAAAATAGACAAAATCTGTCTCCGTGAACAAAAAATGAAGTTAAAAATGAATGAATTTTCAATGTTTAGCATCTCAGATATCTAGAACAAAAGACAATATTGGGATGCTTGCCATTGTATAATTTTTGTGTGTGGATATGGAAGGGATTGTGTATATGTTTATCTCAGGGAAAATGTAAACAGACATCAAAGAGCTATGTTCAGTCTGGGTATACTAACAGATTCCGTTTGAAGTAGCATATCATGTAAAAGCATGAACATTTAGTCCCCCCAATTATAAAATAATTGAACAAGGAACATATTGCTGTACAAGAAATTTATATATAACCTTTAAAGAAAAATAAGCTTAGGATATGTTAGAAGTAATATTTCACAATATACTCACAGTAGAAATTATGTGGTGTAATATATAAGTTAAATTATATATACTACATAGAACTAAGTAACATAATAGACAAAAACCACAAAATAAAAATATATTATGAGATACCAGGAAGTATACACACAACAAAAGTAGGGTATTGTGATTGTAACAATCACTTACTTTTTAAAAACTGACATAATGTACAACTAAGAAATAAACACTTCCAAACTGAATATCACAATAATTAGCATATTATTTTTTATGAGGCCTTTCATAAATATTTCTTCTTTTTATTATCCAAAGATTTCTAGTATCTGTGGAGTGATTAAGAACTAAATTTTGAGGGGCTGGGGTTTTGGCTCAGTGGTAGAGTGCTCGCCTAGCACACGTGACACACTGGGTTCAAACTTCAACACCACATAAAAATGAAATAAAGATATTATGTCCACCTACAACTTAAAAAAACAAATGTCAAAAGAATTAAATTTTGAAAAGTATTCCAGAAACCCTCCAAGTAGATAACTTGAGAATAAAAGCTGTAACTGAATCACATTTGACTAATATTATGAGTCAGAACAGAGGTATTTTCTAAAAGAGTCATAGTTGCCTTAAACAAAGGCCAAAGCTTTTTACCTTTAGGATTTCACCTCTGATTAATTACTTTTTTAATTTCATGGAATACAAGCAAAGGGTATAAACAACACTCAAATAGACAATAAATATGAAAAGATATTCAATAATATCTCTAATAAGAAATATAAATACATAATATTGAGAAATCAGTTTAAATATATTTGTTAAAAATGTGAATTGTGATTACCTCTTGGTATACCTTGAATTACTTTTAATTGCTTCTTTGTATTTCATATACTGTCTGACTTTTTTAAAATTGACATATATTATTTTCACAAAATATAAAGTCATTTTAAAACTGCCTTATGAGTTTTTTTAATAGAAAAATTATGGTCAAATGATTAGAAAAGAAATTTAGTAATAGACCAAGTCAATTCAGTAATGTGATAAAGGTGGCATTTCAAATAGGTATAGAACAGAAACATTATCATGGTTCTGTATGAATTAATTAGCTAATAAAAAATGTTGACTTATTGACTCAAAAATACAAATTCTTGGTGGTACAAACCTTAACATGGAAATGAAATCATTAAAGTACTATAAAATAAAAGAACATCCTTTAAAAAAAATCCATCATATTACAATAAGTTGCAAAACAATATTCACTGTATAACCCATTAATTTAAATGATTTTTTCTATGGTATATGTTTTGAGTAAAATTATGAAATGAAAGTATACACACATATAGTAAATTTTATTTACCATTATACCGCCATCCTCTACAAGTGTTCCTGGCACATGCATTGGTAATATGTATAAAATGATAAAATGGGCATAAACTTTAGTCTACCCCCCTATTTCTAGGAATTCATACTATATTGATTTTCTCAAGCGTATATGTATTCATTTGCTAGGTATCCAGGGGCATTATTTAATAACAGGGTGTGTGTTTATAAAGAGAGAAATGGTGGGGCTAGTTTGTGGCTCAGTGGTAGAACACTTGCCTAGCATGTGTGAGGCACTGGGTTCGATTCTCAGCACTGCATATAAATAAGTAAGTAAGTAAATAAATAAATAAATAAAATGAAGGTCCATCAACAACTAACAAAAAAATATTAAAAAAAGAGAAATGGTGACGACACAGCTTCCCTACAACAGAAATCTGATAAATAAACGAAGACAATTATTTCCATGGAATATATATCTATTTAAAAATAAGACATTATTTGCCATGAAAATTTTCTGTTTGGAGTTTCATCTTTGCAATGCTCATATATTTTGGAAATTGGAGATAAGTAAAGGTAAAATCTTTGACAAAATCAGAAAGCATTTCCTAACTTTTAAAAATATGTGACTAAATGACAAAACACAAATTCTATAATAAGAAGTAATATAATGGTTACTCTAAATTTAATACCTCTTTCCCCATTTGAAATGAATAATACCTTATATTTTATAATTTATTATACTACTTGTATTCCATGACCAAGTTTAGATAGTGAATGTGGTTTAGTAGATTAGGTTCTACATTACTATGCCAAATCATCTCTGTGGATTTTTATTCTATAAAAATATAAAGACATCTTCCAATTAAATCTCTAAAAGACTATATCCGTGAATTTCTATTCAAATACAGTTGGGTATTTTTATGTCATTCATAAAAATGGGCTAAACAGCATCCTTACCTTTCAATGAAAAGTAAACACTGGTCTTTTTGGTTGTACCAAGGGAGTTGATCTGTAGCAGAAAAGAATCCTGTAAATAAAAAACAACATATATCTGTTTTTAAACTTCATTTTACAAAAGTTTATTCATATACTCCAGGACTTGTAAATCATTCTTAAATATGGCTAATATTTTACAATATAAGAAGGAAACTGGTGGCAGATGACATCCTATACACTGGCAGAGGATGCTTTCATTAACACAAATTCCCCCTCCCATCCTGCAGTTTGTGGAATTGAAACCTGCTGCACTTAAGTATAAAACAAACGGTCTGCTTTTTAATAATACTTCCTAACATTTGAATACCCCATTGCTTTATCTAAAAGGTTGTTGCAAGCATTGAAAAGGGCTTCGTGGCAATTCAGCAGCAAGGTTGGGGTATATTATATGACAGCTTAAAAAGAGAAATATAATTTTAAAAAATGGTGTAACTGACTCACGGCAACATGGGTTCGCAAACCTTGTAGATGGATATAAACCAGGCTTGCCAAACATCACAGACAGCACTTATTAAATCTGCTACGTGGAATGCAATATGCCTGCTGTCTAGCCCCTCCCCCTCTGCCAATAAACGACTCCCCCTTTTTTCCAGTGTAAAAAACACATGCTCACAGGATATTTAGAGGAACTCAGGTTTGTTTTTTTAATCACCCAGAGTCCTACAACCTAATGACGCTATTCAGAGCATTTTCATCCAATTTTTTTTTTTTTAAACAGCTTTTTGTTAAGAGGCCCGTGACCAACTCAGGATGGGCGGTTGGGAGAAGGAAAACACTCCTCTTTTTCCCTTGTTAGGAACTATAGCTGGCATTTTTACCTCGTGTAACTATTTTTTTTCTCTTTGAATTATAAAATTATAAAGAAAAAAATTCTGAGTGGGGGTGGGGGAGAACGTCTTCCAGGGGTGTGTGCCTCCGCAACCAAGGAGCATCTGGGAAGGTGGGTGGAGCCAGGGGGGGGGTGTTGCGGTAGGCCATTCGTTGGGCGTAGGGTTTGTCAATCAAAGTTGCCCAGCGAATGAAGAACGAACTAAAGGCACACTGGGAACGAAATTAACAGGAGATCTGACTGCAAGGGGAGGGGGCTCACGTTTCGAGCCAAGAAAAGAACTCAGGATCTCACACTGCGCCATTGGACTGCGGCACACCTCGGTCTGCTTCTGCTGCAACAGGGAGAGGCCCTACTCCCGTGGCTCTCTCCCAGGTCTCCATTGCCGCTGCCGCCTTAGAAGCTGCTACTACAGCACCGCGGCTTGCGGCTTGCAGTCCCGCCCCGCCCTGAGCTGCCRCAGCGGTCGCCAGTGCCACCTCCGCAGCCCGGGCCCTCACCGTCGCCAGCCAAGCATCCGTGAGTCATTTTCTGCCCATTTCTGGGTGCGCGGTCTCTGTGGTAGTCACCACCTTAAGAGGTTTGCGGGATTGCAACATGGCAGAAGCGGATCTTAAAATGATCACGGAACCTGCCGCCCAGGGGGTTGCTGAAGAAGAGATGGCTAGCTCAGCTAGTGATTCTGGGGACGAATCTGACAGCAGTAGCTCTAGCAGCAGCACTAGCAGCAGCACTAGCAGCAGCAGCAGCAGCACCAGCAGCAGCACTAGCAGCAGCAGCAGCAGCGGCAGCAGCAGCAGCAGCAGCGGCAGCAGCAGCAGCAGCAGCCACAGCCGCTTGTATGGAAAGAAGCGGGTACCTGAGCCTTCCAGAAGGGCGCCGCGGGCTCCCTCAGGGACAAATTTCGTGGATAGGCTGCCCCAGGCAGTTAGAAATCGTGTGCAGGCCCTCAAGAATATTCAAGATGAATGTGACAAGGTAGACGCCCTGTTCTTAAAGGCAATTCATGATCTTGAAAGAAAATATGCTGAACTCAATAAGCCTCTGTATGATAGGCGATTTCAAATCATCAATGCAGAATATGAGCCTACAGAAGAAGAATGTGAGTGGAATTCAGAGGATGAGGAGTTCAGCAGTGATGAGGAGGTGCAGGATGACACTCCTAGTGAAATGCCTCCCTTAGAGGGTGAGGAAGAAGAAGAAATGCCTAAAGAAAACTCTGAGGTGAAG